GCTGAAGCCCATAACAGTCTGCATTTTTTTTTTGTATCACACCCTATAATATGTATGTAAGCTAACATAATAAATTCTAACCTAAATTTATTTTAATTTTGTAACTTAATTTAAATTCAAAAGTTGATATAAACAATAATAATTTGTAACTAAAAGAAGTCTATAGAAAATAATCTGAATAATCTTTTTTTTTATTTGAATTGTAATTAGATCATAACTCAAGTTCAAGTATGAGTTGATGATCATTGAATCTCTTTGATTGTCTTCTATAAGACCACCAGCAAATCGGATCGTCCGGTCAGCCGTGCCAACCAGGATGATTAACGGCCCCATTCACGCGAACCTAAATAATGATAATCATAATGCGGCCGAGTCCAATAAATTTGAATACCATAATCACAATCATCACCCGTAACCGTAAGAATTCCTTTGGACCTGGCCTGTGTGTGTGTTTTCTTGCTCAGCCCGAGCTTGGTTTCCTCTTGGATTTCCATGTGAGTTAGTGCGCTGTGGGCGCCATAAATTTCACCAAATTACAATACACTCGGGCGGCGATAATGGACGGTAATTATCAACCGAGGAAGGAAACGGAGGGCGTCTTCAGAACCCGTCAAACCCTGCAGCTATCCACCGGAATTAACATACATTTAAAGGATCCCACACACCAGCACCAAAATTTTAAGCAAACAAAAGTTACATTTAAAAAAAAACGTTCGATGATACGTACATTATTATTTAAATGAATGTACTAATATGAACGTATAATCATATTAGTCATACTTAACCATGAAATATTCTTATCTGATTTGTAATAATATATATATTTGCTTTTATAACTTGTTTTAGAAAATACAACTCTAATATTATTAGTCTTAAAATAATAAAATTGAAACATGTATTTGTAAATATGATACCTGTATTGTGTACATCGAGTACGTTTGTGCGAACATCTAGTACGTTCGTTAGAACACCAAAAATCTGAAATATATACATTTAATTGAGAATATATGATCTAATGAACGTAATGTAATTTTTTTGTACCGTAGCCTAGGTTGGACCATTCGATTTTCAGAGCTTTTTTAGCATAAGGTAACCACAATATTTGCCCTAGTTGTAATGTAGTTTATTAGTATTTATAGTTGTGAGGACATTTAAAGTTCTCTTGTTATAATTAAAATTTACTATAATCGTTTCAATAATAAATATATAATTCGTTGAAGTATTTCCAATTTTTTATAATAAATTTCCCAGTTTAAACCACAAAGAGTTGCCTGAATTGGACCAGTCAAATTAGAGGAAAATCTGTTGCTATAACAGCGGTTCTCAATCTTTGCGCCCCCTGTATTATATAAGATAATAATATAGATGAGAGTAATCCAATACATGGGAATTTATTCAAAAGTGCTTGTAACTTTACTTTTCCCCACTTCTTACCTTTGCAAAATTGTATTTTCTGCTGTGGCTGCTTTAATATCTAAATATAAACAAACTTCAAATAGAAAGAGACCTCAGAATGACTATTTCGATTATAAAACTAAACCTGGTACATCAAAACAAGCACATATTAGATTAGATTTTGGTAACTAAAATTACGTTACTGGTCCATCCTTGGAAACCATATGAACGTGCAATGTTGACACAATTGTGCTGTGTCTGTAGATAATTCCGGAATGAGATGGATAAATGTACGTTCGTGTGGACAAAGAGACACGTGTGTATAGTAAATTTCTGCTATTAAATAGAAATTCCTCATTAATTGAGTACGTTAATTGAGCGTTGACTACATGTAGTATAGTAGATTTCTGAGCATTTATTTATCCGATTTAAGTGATATTTAGCTCAAGTATGTCGCAACATACTTAGGTCAAGACTAGCTTTTTGTAGCAGCTTTATCGCGTTGGTCTGTGGGATCCTTTATGTTACACGGCTGACGTGCGTCTTGATTTACACACAAGCCACACGCGTGTAGATTTTATAATTACCACATCTTTCGTTTCATCTCCAACAAACACTCACAAACATACTTAGCCATACTCAGATACATATATATAGTAGGAATGCCTCGAGCAAAAGCAAAGAAAGCTGAGCTAATTGAGAAAATTATTAAATAAAATTCATGTTATCGAAAACGGCTTACCGAGCGCATCGCCATTAACACATTCTGTTTACCATTACTACCATTTGCGAGCATCTCCCATGTGCACAATAAAATTAAGCAATTAACGTATTCCATCGACGACACACGGCTTCGTTTACCAATTATTTATCATTCGAGTTTCCTTCGGCGTTCAATACGATGGACCAAGAATCGTGACACTCAATCTGAACTCATCTTCGTTTTCTCAGGATCTATGACTTTCTTCCGCTATTCTTAATATATAATATGTGAGAAATAGCATTCTAGTGCATTATATTCTTTTTTTTCTCTCTCCTTTTCCTACACACGGCTAAATACTGGATAAACTTTCTTTGCACCACTTCGATTTGTGTCAATTACTACACTACGATATTT